GAAGGTCATTTCTGTCATTTGTATACTGGTCTGGCTCGTCAATATCAATCACTTCTCGGACCCAGCACACCATGGAACTCTGAATGGTGCTCTGTATTATCTCAAGATCGCTGTTGCTTTAGCCGTTGCTGCAATTCCTGAAGGACTCGCAGCGGTTATCACGGCTTCTTTAGCCCTTGGGACGAAGAAAATGGCGGCAAAGAATGCGATTGTCCGAAATCTTCCTAGTGTGGAGACATTGGGCTGCACGAATGTGATTTGCTCCGATAAGACCGGTACTTTGACTACGAATCAAATGAGTGTGTCAAAGGTGAGTGTGTTACTACGTGGTACGATTGAGATTCATGGAAATCTTGTTAGTTTCTCATAGCCGAGAAGGACTTCGACTCGATGCATCTTTTCAATGTGGAAGGTACAACCTACGCCCCAACTGGCCAAATTACGAATGCCGAGGGAAAACCGGTAGATTCCAAGACTTTGCGATCCCCCGCGATTACTCGACTAGCCGAGATCTGTGCGCTTTGCAACGATGCGACTATTGCATACAACAGCGTAAGCTGTGCTGTGCATTTTTTTAGGTTTAAGGTACGAATTCATGCAATTACAAATACAGGAGAAGGACGCATACGTGGCCCTCGGCGAGCCGACTGAAGCTGCTCTCAAGGTCCTGGTCGAAAAGATAGGGTGCACAGACGATACAAACAAGACATCAGTTGACACCGCCTCCGAAAAAGGCCGGGCGACAGTGTTCAATGATTATCATGCTGCGCGACTCGAACGTGCGCTCACGTTCGATTTCTCCCGGGATCGAAAACTCATGTCGGTCCTCGTGTGCCGCAAGTCGAAGGGTGGACATCTATTCCTCAAGGGTGCCCCCGAAGCAGTCCTAGACCGATGCACATCTCTCCAAGTCGGCAGCAACACGACGCCTCTAACGTCACAGATGCGAGCCAGCATTCTAGAGTCTACTCTCGATTTTGGGAGGAGCGGCTTGCGAACCTTGGCCTTGGCGTACGCGGATGTGACAAATACGAATGCAGCACACTACAAATTGCAGAGTTCAGCCGATTATACACGTTTCGAGCAAAATCTGACATTTGTCTCGCTCCTGGGCATGCTTGATCCCCCACGCCCCGAAGTCAAGGGTGCGGTCGCTAACTGCCGTGCTGCGGGGATTCGCGTCATTTGCATCACCGGTGATAACAAGGGCACTGCGGAAACCATCTGTCGACAAATTGGGATTTTCGACGAGGACGAGGATCTCACGGGCAAGAGTTACACAGGACGAGAGTTCGATGATCTCTCGCGGGATGAACAAATTGCTGCTGTTCAACGGGCCAGTCTGTTTACCAGAACCGAGCCGGCGCATAAGAGCCGACTTGTCGATTTGCTACAAGGATTGGGACTGGTAGTCGCCATGACTGGGGGTACGTGTTCTTGGCATTCACTTTATCTATCAGCTAAGTTCTTCCACTAGACGGTGTGAATGATGCACCCGCACTTAAAATGGCAGACATTGGTGTTGCGATGGGAAGCGGGACCGACGTGGCGAAGCTCGCCGCGGACATGGTATTAGCGGACTCCAACTTTGCTACAATAGAGCTCGCAGTAGAAGAAGGCCGACTGATATACAATAACAGCAAGCAATTCATTCGTTATCTTAGTGAGTACGGTTCTGTTCGTGTACTGTGCTCAACTCTTAATTGTGCTGCTGCACAGTTTCATCAAATATCGGAGAGGTTGTTAGCATATTTTTGACTGTGCTTTTGGGGATGCCTGAGGCCCTCATTCCAGTCCAACTACTCTGGGTCAATCTCATCACAGACTCACTTCCAGCGACTGCCCTTGGCTTCAATCCCGGGGACCACTCCATCATGCGTGTTCCTCCTAGAGATAGTCGCGAACCTCTTATCAGCAATTGGCTATTTTTTCGTTATGTTGTGATTGGTATCTACGTGGGCGCAGCGACGGTATTCGGTTATGCATGGTGGTTTATATATTATACAGGAGGTCCCCAGATTACTTTTTATCAACTCGTGAGTCTCGTCCTTGTATCCATCCGCAGTCAGACTCACCCGTCTGCAGACTCACTTCCACCAATGCGCGACTAGCTTCTCAGACATTGGGTGTGACATTTTCACTAATACATATGCACAGCGGGCCACCACGATGAGTCTTTCCATATTAGTCCTCGTGGAAATGTTCAATGCTATGAATTCGATCTCGGAGAACGAGAGCCTCTTGCGGCTTCCGGTGTGGAAGAACATGTATCTCGTTGGAGCAATTACGCTGAGCATGGCCCTGCACTTTATGATACTATATGTTCCGTTCTTCGCGGTACGTGCCATTCTGAGCGGGGCCGCCGCTTTACGTATAAACTGACTCATGCTTTCATAGAAACTATTTGTCATTGTCCCCCTCAACGTGGAAGAGTGGAAGGCGGTGCTCTTTGTGTCCCTCCCGGTTATACTGATTGATGAGGTGCTCAAGTTCATATCGGTGAGACGAATCCGTTGCGGCTGCGGGTCGTGATTCCGAATCTTCAACTTTTCTCCGCAGGCGGGCCTGGGTAGGCATGGGCGGTTAGCATAGAATTTATAAATAGCCGTAAATAAAAAAAATCAGGAACGCCACACTTGAAATCAATATGATCAAATCCTTACATAATCCGCAGTCCTGATGCTCCTTCAACTCCCAACTACTACAGACCAAAAAACGCCTCCCAAATGTCTAACGCTCTTCTCCTCGACTTCAACGACTACATGGTCTCTCCGTCCTCCAAACCTGCCAACCAGTCTTTCTCGCCCTCCTCTTTTGATCACTTCGCCTACGGCCTGGCGTCGTTCGACCTCCTAGCCCCCACCCAGACCTGTTCGATTCCGAGCTCGAGTCGTCCGCAGACCTGAGCGCCCTCTCCGCCTTAGACATTCCTCCCTATTCCCTTGAGACTCTCCAGGGCCGACCAGGCTTCTACGGAGATTTCAGGTCAGGACCCGCAAGCACCATCACGGTCTCCAGCGAGAGTCAGAGCTGTCAGGAGTTCGATACGGCTTCGTACTACTCCCTCGACTCTTCATCAGGATACCTCCCCACAGAAGCAGTATCGTCACCGTATCCCAACCACCCCACCCACTCTGCCTACAGCACAGCCAAGAGTGACGTTGAGCTCGACTTTTCCGATTTCAGCCTCACCATGCCACCCTCCCTTACCCAGCCTTCCATGGCTCCTGTCCCCACTGTGAACATCAAGGTCCTTGAGCCCAGCGACACGGTGGCGATGGAGCAGACCGTTGCGTCACAACAGGGATACGTGAGACGGCAACCGGTAGACAATGTATATGCGCCCCCTACTCTCCCTGTTCTCGTCACCACTCCCGCTGCCTTGCCGAAGAAACGCGAGGCCTCCCAATCCCCACAGATGCCTACACCGCCTCACCACCGCGGCCGAATAAACCCGGACACCAGTGGTCCCGTCAAGAAATATCCATGCGTTCATTGTCCGCGCTGTAGGTGCTTCCAGGCATACTGGCGTGCCTCCGTAGCTAAGGTTGAATTTTCTACTATAGCGTTCGCCCGAGCATTCAACTTGAAGACTCACATGGCGACGCATGATCCCAACCGAATCAAGGCTTTTGTCTGCAGACATCAAGGCTGTGGCCGATCGTTCTCTCGCAAGCATGACCTTGGTCGCCATCTCACCTCTATTCATGGATCCCGTGACGGGATTCGCGAAGATAGCGAGCCTTCGCTAGTCGGTCACCGGAGCTCCGCCGAGTCGCTCTCAACTGCTACTTCGCGCGGTGGTTCTGACGGTAACAATACAGGCCGCATGCATCGAGAACGCGTGTGGTGTGATGGTTGTGGACGCGGATGGATCAAGGGCACACGCGAAGCCTGCGAATGTGACGAGTACCGCGACGAGTAATCGAGACTTTCGCCCAACTTTTGGTCCGTATTCCTCCTGTGCGTGTTTACCCCTTGTTTCTCACCTCGGGAACATTGCAGATAGACCATTGCTCATTACGCTCCTCCCGCAAGGGAGTTTCGCCTTGGGTCTTCGGCCATTATTTTCAGGTCATGCATCTGGAAAGGCCACCGTTATCGTCATTCATTCTAAGAAACACCGTGCCCCGTTCCGTCCCGTCATGTGCTTTGCGCCGCTATGGCATCCGAAGAATCTCATTGACCCAGTGATGGGCGAGGCCGTTTTTCTTTGATCATTGTTTGACAATGGACATTCTCCCTTTGTTCTTTTGACCCCCTTTTAGTCATTCCTCGGTTGCCTTGGCTTTCCTTTGTTCTCCCATTTACTTTTTCTCGTTAATGTGATGGCCTGCGACGGATCCCGATCTGCTCGTAGTCCGTCTTAGCTTCTTGTTTGGACAGTTGCTTCGAATGTCAGAAAATGCTAAAAATCACTAGGCGAAGATTTCCTCCTCTTTCGGCCGATCTGAATGGGACAGACGAAATGGCCAAATTACATGGTTGCCCTTGCGACGGGTTGAGATGGTCTGGTTTTCCGACGGATGGCGCTAGCGATTCATTCCGCTCATTATTTGTCCGGAATCATTACTCCAGGAGGAACCTGACCCCACCGGGACATCAATGACATCTGTAATTGCCAAAATCAGGAAAACTGGTGTGCCTACATTTTGAAAGATCCGATGATGAGGGAAGCCAAATAACCATCAAGGGGGAGGACACTGATAATCCCATCGGAGCTCAATTGATCAATTCACAAATTGCATGGGATATCAATTGCCCTTCCCCAAGGTGGAATCACCAGGGGGATGAAGAAAGAATTCCCAATAAAATGTACGGCTGAGGGACTCGCGTGCGGGGTGAGAGAAGCACCAGCCATCATTCTAGCCTGATTTTCCACAGTTTTCAGCTCTTTTTCACTCGTGACACTTATGGCGATACGTGTGACGTGTGACGTATCACTACGACACGGCGTGCCTTCGGCCCGAAAATTGTTCCCGAGAGGGGAACAAAAGAACAGGTCGAGCTCGGAGTCGAACCGAGGTTGCTCGGAGGCCAACGACTCATGCCATCAGAACCGAGCGTGATAACCGTTACACTACTCAACCAAACTCGCTGGCTAAGTGTTGTTTCGGGCTAAATATATGGGTCCCAGACAGGAGCATCACCACCTCGGTACGCGGCCCATTCTAAAGGTGAATCGGCAAACTTTTCATGCATCTGGCTGTGAAGTTCAATTCCTGAACTCAAAATCCATCTTTTCAAAGCCATAGGGTTACTGCCGTAAGGACTATTCATGGGCGAAACACTTAAGCGGAGTTGTTTTTGTGCGGCACTTTGTAGTGGAAACTTGATGGCATTGCGAGAGGTTGAAGCACGGAAGACGGCTTAGCAAAGTGGTTAATGCGATTGATTAGAAATCAATTCCTCTCTGAGGGCGTAGGTTCGAGTCCTACAGTCGTCGGTTCTTTTGGTGAGGCCTCGGTCCCTCATATCCGATTCCGTCCCATTGGCTTCCTTTCTTTTCTTTTCTTCTTCAACACGGGACTAGGAAACTGACAGAATCTGTATCAGGAAATAGTGAGACTTGGCACGGTGTCTGTCCCCTGCGGTAAAGGAAAGCCGCATGTTGATCTACGATGTATTTTCAGTTTCAACTCGGCACAGCTGCCAACGTATTTGGGGTGAGTTTCAGTCATCTGTATTGCTTTAGCCTTCGCAACCGTAGATGAGCCGGCCAGACTGGTTCGAAGGCTATGGTCCAGACATTGTCCCACGCGAAGACCGCTTAGTTCCTTCTCTAAATGGCTATAGACGTGCGCTTGTTATTCCAAAAGCTGTGAGGACAATCGAATAAACTATCCGATGCGATCCTACTTCATACCGCTTTCTGAATGTGTGAATCTCCCTCACGGTTCTTGCTCCTATGATCCGTAGTGCTGTCCAAAATTACAAAAAGTACCTTGATATATGAACCATTGTGGTTACTTGTTAAGGTAGCCAAGAATCATCCGGGTTGAAGTTATGTGGACTCATCATGCAGTGGGTGCTCTTGACATTTAGCCCACGACTTGGAGTGGGGACAGTATTTCATGCCTGTTTTCAATTCTCTAGGAGCTCGGGAAACCCCGAGTTATACACTTTCACACTGACATAGTGTCATGTATTACTTGCTCTCTCGGTACGCCAATGCTATGTGGGTGTAGGGGACCCGGATCTCATAAGAAGCTTTAGCGGGCTCGATCCGGTCTTAGGGGTTTTTACTGGTGTCTTGGCCTACTACTTGTATGAGCGGAATCCGCGCACCGCTCCTCCGCCGGGCGAGAAGCTACACGAGCTCGCGCGTTGGAAGTTTGAGATGTGGAGGGCCGAACGGCAGGGGCGTTTGGTCGGATAAAATATGCGACGTAATGGGTGAATAATGTGTGAGTTGTTTAATTCTTTGGATTTGGATTGTCACTGCCTGTGTATTCACGCTTGAGACACTTGGGTAAAGTGTTACCCCTCCGCCTTTCACTAGTATACTATCCCAGTTTAACCTTCCTTGCACCATCTTCCATGTGAAAGCATGTTGTAACGCTCCTACCATATGCGTTCGATCCTGCTTTTCTACCCTGCATCTTCTTAGGGGGGCCTTCAGCATACGGGTATGAACTTCGTGAGCCCCCAGGGTCCGTCTTCTGCTCCATGCCATCCTTCCCTCGTGTCAGACGATCGCAGCGCTGAAATAATGCAGCTCGCCGCCGCCACGATAATTGCCTAACATTGAACCAGATACCTGTGCTTCCCAGATGACACCATTCGAGTCAGCGATATGTGTGTGCATTCCTTCAGGAAGTGATTTGATATGATTGTTCCCCAAATGGGGTATCGGCGGGGTGTCATGCCAGCACGCTCCGAAAAGAGGTAGAATGGAGATCCAGAATAAGTGCAGTGCTGGATGTCTTCTTGTCTTATTCACACATTGTTTAATTTCTCGATTCCATTGACATACACAGCCTGACTTGCCACGCTCACTCACCCTCCGTTTGTCGAGGCTGACTATTTAATCGCTCACAGTACATATGAGCTGTGGCCCTTTTTGCACGAGTACCCACAGAGGTACCACAGGATGACCACAGGGTTGAGGCCAGACTTATCGTTTCTCGGCATCGCGGATAGTCATCGTCACCAACTGCCGGCTGAGCGGGCCGTGCTAGCCAATATACCATGACGTCAACCCCCCACATGTGATTGGTAATAAGACGGACAGCCGCCATCGCCGCTATCGTGCGTGCTGCCGTCGTCACCATCGTCACCCCCAATGTCGGCTGTCAAATCCCAGGCGGAAAAGACCAAAGCAAGGCTTGGACCTAATGCACCTCTAGTGCCCATCTTTACGCCGAGAGACTACAGCATCTTCTTCCTCGCCGGTGAGTACGTCCTTCGCGGCATATTCTACCAATGCTCACGAGTGATCTGCTCTCCAAGGGGCACTGTGCGCCACTCTAACTCATGGAGCCATGACTCGTACGTTTTGCTAATCCGCGTTCTTGGCTCTGGTGGCGATGGGACATCTAACATCAACGTGTTGACAGCGATTGACGTGGTGAAGACTCGAATACAAATCGACCCTGCGCTCTCTCGCACGAACATGATCTATGCCGGCGGAAAATCGTAGCAGCAGAGGGTGTCGCTGGACTCATGACTGGCTTCGGCCCGACTGCAGTGGGATACCTTGCCCAAGGAGGTGCCAAATTCGCGGGATATGAGTACGCTTGGCCACCTATTTCTTTTATCTGTGAGGTGCCAACCCGTTCCGTCCATCTACAGGTACTGGAAGAAACAGTTTGTCGAACTCGTTGGATCACACGAGGAAGCTGTCAAGTATCGCACCCCGATATACCTCGGGGCAGCCTCCACTGCAGAGTAAGGCACCTTGATTCTTTCCAAGCAGAGATCAGACCATAACCATTATCTAGATTCTTTGCCGATATTCTTCTGACCCCCCTCGAGGCCACACGTATCCGACTCGTTTCAAATCCAAAATACGCAACAGGTCTCGTTACCGGTTTTACCAGACTAGCGCGCGAAGGGGGAATACGCGAGATGTACGCTGGATTCCTGCCAATCTTGTTCAAGCAGATCCCATATGCCATCGGCCAGTTCACTGTGAGTCCTCTCCCTATTCATCTCATCCCTCTTACCACTGTGAGTCCTCTGAAATTCCGTGTTTACCACTATTAGGTAAACGAATTCTGTCACGAAATAGCGTATAGAAACATGACGGAAGAACAACAAGCAAACCTCTCCGCCACCTCCAAGTTCGCACTCAACTTAGGTTCCGGCCTCACCGCGGGTGTCGCAGCAGCCATCCTGAGTCAGGTACGCGTATCCCCCTTCTACTTACAAACCCCCCCCCTTGGATCAATATTTCTCAAATTAACACCCGCATGCATTTGACATTGGTCCATAAAACCAGCCGGCAGACACGCTCCTTTCGCAAATAAACCGAGGCCACGGACCGACGGGGACCATGCTCACCCGTCTCGCCGTTCTCGCGCGACAAGCTGGTTTCAGAGGCCTTTTCGCGGGCCTGGGGCCCAGGATCGTCATGACCGCCGGCCTCGTCAGTGGCCAGTTCTTGGCATATGGTGCTATCAAAGACGGTCAGTGGATCTTTTTTTTTGGGGGGGGGGAGGCTCCTCTCCCGTGGTTTGTTTTATTTACTTACTTCATCTAATTTTTGGACGGTCGGGGGTTGCAGCACTTGGCGCGCCGCCCGGAATAGAGATTCATAAAGATTAGATGATGAACATACACACACACACGAAGAAAAGGAGGATAGAATATGCCTCGGCATCCACATGTTTCTCGATTATTTCCCATGACTTGGCTGCTTTACCCCGATGTAACACACTGTGCTCTAATATATTCCATTGGTACTCAGGACGCACTGTATTAGTTGTCCACCTCTCCCTGGATGCATTGAACACCACCACAGCACGGCCAAATGAAACGATTCGTTCATCAAGACCATATGTGTAGATGTAAAATCAAACAAAACAAAGAAAGGAACAGCCAAAAACGGACGAACAGCATCTATCTATAACTCCTGAGTTACCTCGTTCGATCGTTTCGTTCTTCGTTCTCCGCTCTCTCAGGTAGTGAGGGAATATAGTCGATTACAGATTGTTGTTCTTCGCATTCGGCCGGGAAGAGAACCTGGAACAGGAACGCGCCCGCCAACGAATTGTCATCCGTTACCGAGTCGTTGCTATTCTGGTTGGTGGGAAGTGGTGTGCATGTCAGTCATGAGTGAGTGAGGAGTTGTGGTGGTGGGGATACATCGCCCGCGAGGAGCATCACGCGCGCGAACACGGAACGAAGCAGCAGCAGCAACCAAGGGAAGAAAAAAAAAAAAAAAAATAATAATACACTTACCACGGCCATGATATATACATCGCCTTGGACGAAGGGCGGAATGTGCGTGATACCAGTAAAGGTGTCGCTAGTGGCGGGGTCGTAATCGGGTGGAAAGCGCGGACAGATTTCCAGGGACGATCGGGACGAACGTCGTGTTGAGACCGACCATGAATGCGGCGTAGTATGGTGGTGGGAGATCCGGATTCGTCGTAAAATTCAATTGTAGCTGTTTCATTTCATTTGTAGCAGTGCAGCAGCAGTATTTTAGATTGATGAGGAAGAGAAAGCGGATCCGGCTGATAGCGAATGCATGCTGTTTAGCGACTGTTCTTTCGAGATGATCATTTTTGTAATGCAAAGGCTTACCAGAGTACCGGGAGTGAGAATGCATCCGTGGCAATATGGCACAGACATGAGCATCTGGAACCGCCTGGAATGGCAAGACGTAATTGTCCGTGGGGCAGGAAATGGTATGCACGCCCAATTGAGTCGTGTATTGTCCGAATGTCGAGGGGGTCTCCCATGGTCCGCTCCAGGGCATGAGTTCTATAATGAGACATGTCAACTTTCCATCTTGTTCCCACACTTCTGGATGGAAAATGAAAGGGGGGGGGAGGAAACGAAAAACAATAGTTACTGCCTGCGGCTGAACCGATCCACTGAAAGAGGCAACATCGGAAGGTCAGTCCACTCTCACTCATGG